ATCATAGCAACATAAAGTTTTGTTATGAGGGAGTGGAAGTTGAACTGAAGAGTGAGTTGGGAAATGATTAAATTCTGATGATAGAAAGGGAACAGATGGACCAGTGGGTCCAAAGACAATCCTATGGGATCATGGCTCAAATTCATTCAGTTACAGAAGATGAAAAGGAATCACCTCCTATGGACATACAGAACATCATTGAACAGTATCTAGATGTATTTGAAGAGCCAAAAGGGATGCCACCACCTAGATTCAATGATTATAAGATTCCACTGAAAGAAGGAGCTCAACCTTTCAAAATAAGACCCTACAGATGCCCACATACACAGAAAATAGAAATAAAGAAGATGGTGAAAGAAATGTTAGAAGTTGGGAACATCCAACCAAGTAATAGCCCATATGCCTCTCCTGTGTTATTGGTTAAAAAGAAGGATGGAACATGGAGGTTCGGTTTGGATTACATGCAACTAAAGAGCATTACTATCAAGGATAAATATCCCATGCCTTTAATTGATGAGTTAATTGATTAATTACATGGTTCTAGGTGGTTTTCCAAAGATTGACCTGAGGGCTGGGTATTATTAGATTAGAGTGGCTGAAAGTAACAGACATAAGACAGCATTCAAGACTCACCATGGCTTGTTTGAGTTCAAGGTCTTGCCCTTTGGACTCACTAATGCTCCAGCCACATTTCAGTGCTTGATGAATGAGGTTTTCAAGGAGTACCTGAGGAAGTTTGTCTTAGGTTTTCTTTTATGACATATTGGTCTATAGCTCTGACCTATAGATAGGGCTTTTCAGAAGTTGAAATCAGCAATATGTAGCACCCCAGTTCTAGCTTTACCAGATTTTACTCAACCATTCATCATTGAGACAGATGCTTGCCATGGAGGTATGGGTGCTGTCTTAATGCAAAATAGAAGACCAATTGCTTCCTTCAATAAAGGAATTTGTAATGAGATACTAAGAATGTCCATCTTTGAGTAAGAACTTCCAGCATTAGTTACTGCAGTGGGAAAGTGGAGGCATTATCTGGAAGGACATCACTTCATCATCAAAACAAATCATCAATCATTAAAGTACTTGCTAGAGCAAAGGATAACTACACCCATTCAATATAAATGGTTTACTAAACTACTAGGACTCAGCTACGAGATTCAATACAAGAAAGGTATGGATAATATTGTGGTTGATGCTCTTTTCAGAAAAGAATCATCTATTAAAGTGGCAGCAATTTATAATGTAACACCATCTGGATGCAGGAAGTGATAGACAGCTACCAATATGATGAGATGGTTGCAAATCAGATCAAGGAATTGTTGAATAAACCCAATGAAGACTCTGATTTTTCCTATNAGGGATTAAAGTGAAAATAAGTTTTAGAGACATTTGTTTATTTGGACTTAATTTGCAGATATTGAGAATGTGAGAATCCACAATTCATTATCCAGCTCAAATGATAGCTCGTAATGTTAAATTGAGAAGAGAAACAACCGATTTGAACATTCTATGTCCAAGAACGAAGAGTTCAAATAAAATCAATGTTTATTTAATGAGGGCCAAATTGCAGTTTTAGGTTATATTTAGTAGATGTTTATAAAATCGATCTCTTCATTTGTAGTTGGAACAAACTAATTGCAACTTTGGACAAGTGAGGCGAGGTATGATGTCGGGTGCAATATAGGAGAAATCGACTCAAAATCATATTTTAAGTCTTCAATTTTATAAATCCAACATGCATTCATAAAATTAAATTTTTGTTGAATTTTTATTTTAAATTGTATTATTATGAGGTAATAGGTGTTGAGGAAATTATTATTTTTTCCAGTGCTACAAAACTTTTACTTGTTCAAATAACCATAAAGGTGAAGTAGAGTCAGGCATGACGAATCTCTTTAAGATAAGCAGATCAATTTTGCAAGTTCGATATTACAGGTAGTTCATACAAAGGATTGGGCGAATGAACAAGATATTGAGGAATTGTCTATACATAAAATCATAATTATAGATACGGGCCTTTTCCACAAAAAAGGAATTGTTGATTAAACCTAATGAAGACTGATTTTTCCTAGGACAATGGATTACTCAAATTTAAAGGCAATATATATGTGGGATCCGAGGGTCACATAAGGGTCAAGTTGATTCAAAACATCCATTCTTCCCAAAATGGAGGCTACTCTGGTATTCTGGCCAGTGTATTCAGGGCTAAGCAGCATTTCTATTGGTCGGAGATGATTAGAGATATCAAGAGGGAGATACTTCAGTATGATGTTTATCAAAGATGCAAGGGGAACATGGTCCCTATCTTGGCCTGCTACAACCTCAGCCTGAACGGCAGTATTCATAGAAATCACATATACATGGATTTTATTTAAGGCCTGCCCTCTTCAAAAGGGAAAACAGTTATCCTAGTAGTGGTGGATCGGTTCACTAAATATGGGCACTTCATAGCTTTATCGCATCCCTTATCTGCAATCACAGTAGCTAAAGTCTTCCTTGATAACATCTATAAGTGTCATGGAATGCCTCAAAATATTGTGTCAGGTGGGACAAGATTTTCACTAGTGGGTTTTGGCAGGAGTTGTTCAAATTGATGGGAACTAACCTGCACCTGAGCTTTGCGTATCAACCACAAACGGATCGGCAAACTGAAAGGCTTAACCAATGTTTGAGATGTATCTAAGGTGCATGACATTCCACCAACCTAGGAGATGGATTGACTAGTTATTATTGGCTGAATGATGGTACAATACCAACTACCACACAGCGAGTAAAATGAGTCCTTTTGAAACCCTATATGGTATTAAACCACCTCATTTGGCACTGGGACCTTATCAGCAAACCAATGTGGCTGCAGTAGAAGAACTAGTGCAAGAGAGGCATCAAATGGACCTTCTTCTAGAGTAACACCTTGCTCAAGCCCAAGCAATGATGAAATTTTATGCAGACCAGCACAGGATGGAAAGAGTTTGAAGTGGTTGATTGGGTGTATTTGAAGTTACATCCTTACAAGCAAAATTCAGTTATGATGAGGACCAACCAAAAGCTAGCTGCCAAATACTATTGACCTTATCAAATCACTAGAAGGGTTGGCCAAGTAGCATATGAATTGATCCTATCCCCTACTACAAAAATACACCCAATATTCCATGTATCTTTACTTAAGAAAAAGATAGGAGAATATGAGGTACCTATCTTGTTACTACCGGAGTGCGGAGAACGGAAAATGATCTACTGGGAGCCCATCTAAAAGCAAGTTGGAGAATGATTCTCGATCAGATCAGAGAAGTACCGTNNNNGAGAAGTACTGTGCAAACCAGAATGATCAAGAGAAATAATCATACAAATTCAGTAGATAGGCTATGACTGCCACTTGGGCAGATGCAACTACAATTCAGAACAAATTTCCTTTCTTCCAACCTTGGGGACAAGGTCATTTTGAGGGGGAGGTATATGATGAGGAAGAACGCTTCGCGCCAATAGAAAGGAAAGAACACATCAATTGGGGAAAGAAGAAGGAAGGAAGCAAACAGAAATAACCGGAATTTGTATAGTGAAGGGGCGACACCGTTTCATTTTTATATTTTATATTGTAACGGAAGAGTACATTTTTGTTATAGAATCACGCCTTTTACTGTACTTAGCTTAGGGAGGGAAGAAGCGGCAAGCCAGTTGGTACTTTGTCAGAAATCGTACCTCTTCCTTCCCAATTCTCTACCATCTCCCTCCTCCTTTCTTTTTTACTGCAATCACGTTTTGTTAATACGCACACAGCTTGGGTTGTTAAATCGCAGCTAGTTATCTTAATTGCAAGTTATTTGTGGTGAGTTTGGTTGGTTTTGGTTGAGATTCAGCTCAACCATTACACTGAGGTGAAGCAGTTACTTATTAGTTACCTTGCTTGCATTTCTTCTTGCTCTCTTTAGCTCTGTAAAGCTTAATTGCAGTAGAGTTTTTCGTTTGGGTTTTCCTTAAGATGTTTAATATCTCTCGTGCTTTATAGTTGACTTATTCTTGACCAGTTCATACTATTAC